CCTCTTGCCTGGCCCTGCTGAAACATCTCCTGATGGACCATGTTCACATGGAGATGGATGGAGGCATAGATAGCAGCATCCACACCCCCGTGACCATCAAAGACTGCAAAATAAGCTTGCTCTTCTTGGTCCTGTCAATGGAAACACATTGAGAAAACAACTCAGGAGAAAGGAATGCAAATAGCTAATTGGATTGTCTTAAAACTTTTGAACTTGAGATGTGTAGTGCCCTCATTAAATCGCGCTTAGAGGCAGAGTCTGCACTGGAAAAACAAACTACTCAGACCATCTTCACTTGCATCAATGGGAAATTTCCCCCTTAAAATGCTGAAGAATTCTATCTGCAATCTGCAAGAGATACCCTGCAAGAATCGCCTGTGTAGCTCTCTGTGCTCCTTATGTCCCATTTGCTACATTCAGTCACTCAACTCCAATAGAAAGTGCCATTCCCATCAAATTTTGCAGGAGTTTTTGTGACTGCAAAAACCACAGAGAGAAAAGAACATCCAATACAGTTTGCATGAAGTTCACATCAAGACTGGAATCCACCAGGGATAAAATGCCAGTACAGTTAAAATGTGAAACCATCCAGCCTTTGCTTGAATTTTTTTTTTTTTAAATCTAATCCATATCGCCTTAGATGCCTATTTTTTAAAAAAAACTGTACGTACTCTCTCATCAGATAATTGTGATTGCATTCACAAACCAAGTACAGCAAGATCACTCATCTTCAAGTCAGTTTTCTCAGTTTCCTCCTACCTGTTCAAACAGAAACAATGCTCCACCAAGACACATCAACTCCTGTGCCTGTTCATACATATAGCAAACAACCCACTGTCAGTGCCAATTCAACCTTGACAGCCATCTCAATGATTAGAATATTTGTACATTTTAATTTTTAAGTAATGGGCTCCAACACAAATTGGAATAAGAAAGCTGACAATTGACAGGCAAAGGAAACATCTGCCTCTCTACATTAATATCGTTTAAAGGCAAGAATGTGAATGGGGCAGAAGATGGTTATTGAAGTGACAGGATGCAATAAAGAATCAATTATGCAGCAATCTGATCCTAAAGGTAAAATTCTTGCTACTTTCTTCTGTTTGCCATTCTTCAGTGCCCAGTTTTATATCAGAAGGAAAAGCAAGCATGAGTGTTTGACTGATGGCCACATAAAGAAATTAACGGAGGGAATTCTGGCCCCAGTTCCATCAAACTACTCATGTTGCCAGATTCTGGTGTGAACTGCACTCCGTTCTCCTATAAGTTTTGTGTTTGGGGCTGCTTGTTTTTCTTTTTTTTTTTTTTTCTTTTTTTTTTTAATTTCTTTCCTTATTCCTGCTTTTGGCTTCTTCCTCCCAAGAGAAAGGGCTGAAAAGCAGTACAGACCCACCCCGGTAGACAGTTGGTATCGGCGAACTG